GGGAAGAGACCGCTGGGGAGACCTAGACGTAGATGGGAGGATAATCTCAGGCGGGATCTATGGGAGATAGGAGTTGAAGGAAACTGGATTTTGTTGGCCCAGGACAGGGTCCAGTGGAGGGCTTTGGTTAATTCGGTGATGAACCTTCGGGTTCGGTAAGCCATCTAGTTAGTTAGTTATATTTGGGAGGTCCTGGATTCTAACCCTGGCCTGGAGACCTGCTATCCCTACAGGTTTGTTGTTGCCTCAGTCCCTCCAGGAAAATGTGGGGATAGTACCTTAAATTAGGCCACAAACGCTTTCCACATCCTTTCAAATTCATTATTCACTATCATCCTCTTGTTTGACACTATGTAGTCTGAGCTACTGAAAAAGTATTGTTAAATAAACTACTATATAGAATTACTCCCATGTCAAAGCATTTTAACTTGAGAATGGATACTAATTCCTTGCTGGAATTAGGATCAAGATACTCGTGATGAATTAATGAACACATATGTCTCCAAATTTATTATTCAGAGACAGAGGCTGCCTTTTTATCCTGCTTTGTTATAGCCACATTATGAAACAAAGAACAATGCAAATTGCTTACCGACTGCATGGCTTGCAGATAGACAAATGATCTCGAGGTATTTCAAAAAATTCACCAATGCCAGGATCTAGAAACAAAGATTATCTTAAATTTGACAAAAACATATATCTAGGTCTGAGTGCATAAACATTCAGCAAAGAAATGTACTCACTTGCCGAGTGAGTAGGCACAAAGCGAAACTGCAGGTGGAGGGATGACAGAAATGTCGGCTTAGTTTCAGCAAAGCTGATTACTTCAATATTTGCCTTCTCCACCAAGTTCAGAAATTCATAATGAAGGCTTAGTAGTGCCGGCGAATCTACAAATAGTCATACACATATTTTGGATTATGAAATAAGAAACAGACATCCATACTTGCCATAACCACAGCAGTGAGAATGAAATATTTACATCTAACTACTGAAACAGTTAAATTCTCACTAATTTTAAAGTGTATGATGAAGAAAGTGATAATGATGAATAATTTGAAGATGACATTTAAAATAATTTGATTCTGTTTATTAAATTTTCAAAAAAGGATTTCAAGAAAGTGATAATGATGAATAATTTGATTCTGTTTATTAAATTTGCAAAAAAGGATTTGGAAGGAGGCAGTTGTCAGCTGTTTGAAGATATTCACCTGGAGAGAATCAGGGCAATTGCTAGTCTGACTAAAAGCATGTACCCCTTGAATATAATGTCTAGAGAGTAACTGTTATGATAACCTAATGAATATGATACAGTATAAAGAATAATTAGGGAATATTCAATTGAAGAACATGATGTCAATTATGTGAGAAATAAAACAGAACTTACTGACCTACAGGAAATGCACACAATAGTAATATAAGAAATTAAGATATTTTCTGTATAGTTACAAATGTTCACACAAAATGACAGCATACTGAAGACTGGATTATAATTAGCAATTAGTAATCATGAGAAGCTTGATAATAATTGTAAATGTAAATACAATTTTAAAACCAACAGTCAGGGAAAGAACCAGTATAAGAATTGATTAAGGCCCAAGAAAAAACATTTTATTCTGATGGACCAAGGAAACTTTGGAACTGGCGGACCAAACACATTCAAAAGAAAGGTGATGTAGAAAAACATGTATCTAACTACTGTACAGTTATTTTGTCACAACATATAGATTTTCCTCTTTTATTGTGCTTATATTAGTATATGAAATACATGCAATTGGAAACTGGCCTCCTAGAACTGGAAACATTTGACCAAGACAGGCATAGCAAACTGCCTCTTCAGCTTAGTCAGTTCACCAACAGGGAAAGGGTTAATAAAACAGAACCTCATATATCAAACAAATCATGTAATTCATCTTCAAGAGCAAACTACAAACAGCCAATGCACATACATGATTGATTACTTACTCTCTTGTAGCTCCTTCACTTCCATCGATGGCCACCAAAGCAACTGAGTAGCTTGTGTCAGAGAAACGAGTGGCGAGCCTCGGTGGGGTACACTGTAGAACACCACTGCCTTCGTATTGTCACATAATCCATGTACTTCCTCGTCCTCATCCTGGGATGCTAAATACACATAAAATTCTGAACATGGCTAAAAATACATCTGCTGTTATACCCTTTCTCTATATATAAAATCTTTTACACCTTTCAACATCGTAGTCTGACAAACAAATGTCTGAATTGCAACATGGTAGAAGTAAATTGGTTACTTGTCAATATTCTTACATACAGAATGAAGGAATGGGGTACAACCGAAAGAGAATTTTTTTCTTTTTGTAACAGTATATGGTAGGTGCTTCTTTATTCTAGATTCTAATGAACATGAACATTCCACAATTCAACAAAACCTCTAATACTATGTATTAGTAAGTAATAGTATGTGTTCTGCTAATACTAACATACAATGTTTCAAGTATATAGTTTATATAATACTGAATGACATGGAAGAAGGTCATGAGACAGTATGTACTGATATGGAAATAGGAAATTGTGGCATTTTTGAAGATAAAACTTGACATTCACCTGGTCAGGCTGAGAAAATCCATGGAAAAACCTGTCAGAATCTCAGTAGCTTGGTTGAGATGAAAACCAACCTGCATGTCTTACTACTAGTAATACAGTGTGTCCGTAAAATAATGGTGGTGTAACAAACAGTCATAGTTTTGAAACAAAGCATGATAGAGACATGAAATAAACGTCAAAATAAAGAGAAACTCTCCAGTTTTTCGATATATAAACAGGTTCCAGCGCAAGCGCATGCGCGCTGTGCTACAAGGTCAATAGCCGCGTGAAGCTTGTTGGTCGCCATGATTACGGTGCAGAGGCAGGTTCAATGTGTTTTGTGGCTTGCTAAGTTTGAGTCAGTTACACTTGTTAGGCGTAAATACCGTCGTGTGTTTAATTTTGTCCTGTGGATAAATTATATGTAACACCTGAATTTTATAACCAGTAAAGCATAGTCGTTTCTTTAAAACGTTGTGAACAGTTGTTTCTGAAACGCCTAACTCTACAGAACACTTCCGCATTGATTTCTTCGGGCTACGCAGATAACTTGCTCGCACAGCTTCAATGGTATCGTCAGACACTGATGGTCGTCCTGGACGTGACTGCTTCAGTAGGCTGCCCGTTTCTCTGAGTTGTTTCTCCCAACGGCGATGTTATTTTCGTGTGGTGGTTCTTCATTAAACACACGACGGTATTCACACCTAACAAGTGTAACTGACTCAAACTTAGCAAGCCACAAAACACATTGAACCTTCCTCTGCACCGTAATCATGGCGACCAACAAGCTTCACGTGGCTATTGACCTTGTAGCACAGTGCGCATGCGCTTGAGCTAGAACCTGTTTATGTATCGAAAACTTGGAGAGTTTTTCTTTATTTTGACATTTATTTCATGTCTCTATCGTGCTTTGTTCCAAAACTATGACTGTTTGTTATCCCACCATTATTTTATGGACACACTGTATAATCATCATGGTGATCATATATGTTGTTGTTTTTTAAACTGAACTGAAAATGCTCATTGAGAAATTACAGTACTGGACGTATGTGTGGAAATGAAGCTAAGAGTTACCTTTGGTCAACAATGATTTGACAAGTAGCCCACCCATAGAGTGGGCAACCCAGACAATAGGTCGTGAGCCAAGGCCAGCCTGTGTTAGTTTCTTCATCAGTTCTTTACTGCGATATTCCAGGTTCCTTCTGCAAGACAAGACAGAATGAGGCACTCAGATAAGCAACAGCTCCATCAGATATTTTGCCTTTTAAAGTGTTCTCTCCCATATCTGTGTTTGGTCATTTACTGATGCTTTGTGCAGACTACCAGACCCATCTGACCTTTGATGAAGGGTAACATGTTGTGGAAAGACAAAAACCATTTAAATTATTTATAGTGAAAACTGCCCCAGTACTTCCCAATCTGCTATAAATGCCACATGGACTGCCCTTGTACTCAAATCTAGTCTATGCAGTAAAATGATGGTGACTAATTGTCTGAACTAGAGCATGACCCCAGCTTATAAGTAACCAACAAAAACCTATTCCCATTTCCTTTTTTATTCCCTAAGATTTCTTCACTAGAATTATGTACATACTTCTTTAATAAAGTCTTCTCGGGCTATCAGCCATGTTAGTTGGTGATCAATCGCTGACGTTTCGAGGACCATCTCTGTCCTCATTTTCAAGGCTGTTGACTGTGTGGCTCGTAGCTCGAAACGACGGCGATTGATCACCAACTAACACGGCTGATAGCCTGAGAAGACTATTAATGAAAGCCGCTGTGAAAGCTTCACATCATATACATAATTCTTGTTTCCAACATCCAAGCTACGTGCTCAGCCAATCACAATCTTCTTTATTGTTCTACTTCACCTTACCAAACATTATTTGGACAAATGAATCAAGAAAGACAAGATCAGCAGTGCACATAGCATGCATGATCAGACCACCAAATTTCAATGATTCTGCCATATGGAGTTAAGTCATAGTAACTAGGGGTGAAGAAAATGACAACTCACGTAACTCTCTCAACAGGACATGTGGGAGACCACATGGACAAATTGGTATCATAGTTCACACCAATAATACGCAGATGATGGCAGTCCTGTGGGAGCCAGTCACGTGGCCAGCATGATATGTATGTTTTGCAGTCCTCCATGGATTGTTGAATACAAGGATGGCAACTGCACAAAAAAAAACTTTGAAATAATTTACTGGTTTATTTGCATTGTATTTAATGGAGCCATATCAACTACACCACTAAAAAATCATATTTGTTCAAGCTCTGATTCACAGTCAAGCAATGTAGAATGGTAACAGACTGAACAGGTGTCAGTTCTTGGAAGAATTCTATAAATGATAACCACTTTCATGTATTGTGAATACATGTGTAATTGTCCATACTGTGTCGATATCCCACATGATCAATGAGGGTGAAATAAAAGATCAATTTCTGAATACATCATTGCCACTCTGGTACTCTGACATGATGGTTTTTGTTTTCACTGCAGTCTCCCACACACCTCTACTTTTCCTTCCAGTTGACAGATAGATGGATCTGATTCTATGCTAAAAGCAGTATATGCCATGTTAAATACTATGTTCACTCCACAACATCTACTTCATAGATGGCCCACACCTCAGAAATGTACTCTCCAACACCAGCAACGTGAGCAGTGGCCAAGAAAATCTAACAGGCCAAAACTGGAGACATTATTCACAAAATGTTTCTTCTGAAAAACTGTTAATTAATTAAAAGGCAGTCAGAACTTACCCACTAAATGAGTATGGTCCTTCACCCTCATAATTTGAATTTTCTGGACAGTCTGAAAGAACCATTTCAAAATCTGACCCTAATTCATCCCACTCATCATGCTTCAACTCAGCCATGTCTTCCAGGAACTCCTTTGTTTGCTCATCACTTACACTGGAGCCTATATCCTGTCCATGAACCCTACTGCTAACTCCTGAAAACAAATATGACATTACAGTCATTTCACATACTTCATCACATAACCAATACCACTGCATCAATCATGAAGTGAAAGGATTAGTACATTTACTTCTCCCACACAGCATGCAGTAACCGAGACTTCAGTAGCAATAAATTCTGATCAGCAGAAATGTAACATACTGATGCAACATACTTGGACTTGTTTCTTTGCGATCTCTCTGGCGCCACGTGAAGTACACGCCACCAAGGAGGCCATGTATGAATATGACATCAAGTTTTGGTGAATCAGCATGGCGTACAGAAGGGTAAAGTAAATGGAGATGTGACGAGAATTTAATTCCAGCTGTATCATCCATGTCTAGGTTGGCCAATGCACGTGTAGCTGGTATAGATAGTCGGATATTGGGGTGCTGTGCCCACCCAGCCAGAAGCCCAATGCATCCTGTTACATGTAGTACAGACCCTTGTATTAGGTATGCATAGTAAATGAACTTCCATAACACTAAACCCTTAAGTTTCATTGTGTCTAAGTAAAA